AAACATTATTTTACCAGAAGAAAGATGTTTTTATGCCCTGTCATGTACATGCGACAAAGAAGAATCAGAATCCCCATGTGAAGTTGAATTTTAGACCTTCAGCCAATTACACCCTCCAGGACCAGCAACTATAGATCTATGGTGAGCAAGGCCATTAATTGCTAGGTTCATATCTAGCACCCCTACCACAAACTGCTGGCAGGTCGTCAACCACTGACATTTATTATTCTGTCAACCGAAATAACCAACTCTGTGACTACACCTTTTCCATATTCCTGGGTAAGAGAGGGGAACTGAGACTGAATTAGTAAATTTTCTCACCAACAACCTTCAGTTGTAAATTATCCACCCAAAGGATTAATTCGGCATGAGTCACACTTATTTTTACCTCTCCAATTGGTGTTCCAGTGCATTAATCCTTACACGAACAAAGCCCTAGACATCAAAATAAACTGCAGTCTGGGTATACACCACCACTTTCAAACAATTACAAAGTCGGACAGTAAAAAGAAGCTCTGGGTACTATTATAAAGATAAGTGCAGCATTACTATCCATTAGTCACCAGTGCCATAGCCATATTTTCTAGCTGCCCCTGACCCATAATTGTTTACAGCAAAACAAACATCTAAACACAGCTAGCACCTGGGGTTGCCGTGCTTGGAAGTTCAAATCTCTCATCACCTAGCACCTTAAATAATCAACCAGACAATCTTGGGCATATGTTTACCAAGATCCTTTTACAAAGAAAGATATAAATCAATATAATTGCATGATCAGACTGAGTATACGCATCCTTCAATTGGCCACTCCTAGAATGACCATAGAAATTTCAAAATAACAGTTGTTATAGCAACATTGCTGAGGCGTCATCCATCACCACTTCCACAAGGACAAACTATTGATAACAATGTTGAAACAACAATGTAGTGGGTGATAAACTAGAATGATCATCATCCACAAGCACCATGCAACACACGTACTTAAGGATTTTAAATACGTCATGTACTGCCCTATAAGTGGGTGACCAACAATTGCTTAATTGATAAAAACCAGTGCACAATCTCCTTTAACATAATGCTTACAAGTGTTATCAGATCAACCACAAGTGAAAAAATCTCTCAGCATAACATCAGGTTTCCCTAACACTTCACCAAAACACTAAACACCATACAAATCTGCAGAACACAGCCCACAAGTCAGTTATACCTGAGAGAAAAAACTCTCTGCTAGCTGCCCTGAGACAACTACTTCAATTGATAAAACTGAGAAGCTCCGTACATGCAGTATCACCAGGACTCACATGCAAGAATGGTCAATATAATTATACACTCACATGAAACTAATCTCTTAGCCACTGCAGCCCTACAATGATGACATCAAGCAGACAAACACTTAAATAACTGCAGAGCTTCCAAAGAATATCCACTCTCAAAAGTAGATCATCTATGTAATGAGCATCACAGTAACTTCATTTTGGTAGATTGATCAAAACCAGTAAAATCAGTGCAACTTTTACTGTTTGATCATCATACAACACCTGCAGTTCCATGAACAGACCCAAAATTGTACCAATGCCATTACCATTATTATATTAATATAACTATTTCTGGTATTTCCACAAGTTTGTAGCCAAATATAATCACAACATAATTAAATAGGTATAATATCATGCATGCATAGTTCTTGATATAACATAAATACCAGGCAAAATAATAAATACTCACATACATATGAGTGAAATAAGAGCATGCAGAATTTTAAACAAATGCAAACAGGACACAATTATTCCCAGCAAATAAATTATTAATCTTTTCACTCCCACATCACATTTGTAATTCTCCTAAGACTCCCAACCATACAATCCTTATAATGTTACTTCAGAGAATTTAGTATTGGATCAACTAATCATCCCCAAATTTATAGATTTCTTTATTCTCATCACTTATCTGGTTGATATTGTGTTGATATTGTAAGGAGAAAGGGTTATTTACAGATTGACAAAATGAAGGCAAGTTTAAAAAATGGGAGAAAAAAAGAGCAGCAAGTCCTCCTACCTTGTATAGAGTTTCCTGGGTTTAAGAAAATAACCCTTGAATCAGAGATAACTTCAGAAAGTCTGAAAAGGGAAACAGTAGAACAACAGTTACTATATATAAGTTATGAAAGAAAATGGCAGTCACAAATAAGGGCACTGACAGGTGCCCCTAGGTTATAAGTGGTATTAATGGCAACATCACATAATTATCAATATAATTTCGTATTATCAACTGAGTTCATAATGTAAATTTGCCATAGTGACAAGTTTAAAAGGTGACAATTCATTTGTTAGCCCAGTCGCTCTGATGAAGGGTGAACGATTAAAACGTCACCTTTTTGAAACCCTAATAGCTCAGTCAATCCTGGTATACTCTTCCACTCAAGCAGCACCACAGTTTCTTTAGAAACTTACCCCCTTTATTCATTTAATAATCAAAAGTCAACCAGAATTAAAAAACAACAACAACAACAACAACCAAAGGGCTGACCAAAGGTGCTAACTCTCACACAACATGCCAACACAACATTCCAACACAACATGCTTAGCATGTCCAATATGTGCATATATTATTTTTAAACTATGAAGGACACACTATGTTTTGTTTTGGTCAAGTTAGCCCGCTTAGTCTTTGTTTTGGTTTTAAAAGTGTGATCGATGTCACGCTTAGCGCGTAAGTTAACAGAGGATAACACACCTAAATAACAATAATTAAAGAAAAATTAAATGTAGTTAGATATTTCTTTCATTCAACCATATCTTTTCCTTTTGAACTCAATGGCATTCAATTGCGATGGGTAAGCGTAAATACTGGTAAATAAATGGGTGTGAGAAATGAATTTTAATGCTGTATAGTTCCCAAACATAAACATTGATGGTAAACACAAAATTTATACATTTACCAAGTTTTTTTTCTTTTATTGCTGAAGATAATTTGCGGATTGATAACTCCAATATCAAAGTATTAATCAAAAGTTATACATCATCACATTATCAAACAGAAGTTTCTTGCATTTGTGCTTATTCTGAGAATCATGAGTACAATTCCATGTTACAGACATTACTTTCAAAGACCAATTTTTTGGAAACTAGTTTCCTTAACAAACTTATTTTGCACAGTTTTCAATTTATAATTTGTACAAACATTCCTCACAGGGTACTTGACCATCAGCAGAAAGGAAACTTTCCTTTCTTTAACAAAGGCTTCCAAAATTTTTGTGTAAAACTTTGATACGGACATTACAAAAAACGAACCTGCAATTTTTTTTTCACTTACAACTTTTGATAATAATAAGAACAAAGCTGCTTCATAGCTTTTTTAAAATCTAGTTGTATCCCTTATCCGTTAGTTAGATTTTTAGCTGATGTAAAAAATTCCTGTTATGAACATTACACAATTTTTGTTACGGACATTACACTGTGGAACTTTTTTAACGCTGTAAAGAATAGGGAATATGTTTGTTTATTTATGAACTTTTGATAATTGACTTTGTCAAAACTGATAACTTTATAAGTTATAAATTAATATGAGTTAACTCTCTTTTCTGGCTGTACTGACAACCATAACATTAATACTACACTTGGGTTTACATGTACATGTAACTGTGGTATGTGGAGTATCTCATGTAGATTTGCCCATACAATTTAGTTTTATTGAGCATGCTCTAACTAGTGTTTCTGCTGTCTTTTGGTTCTTGCTTTCTGAGATACAGTGCAGATTTCTAGTGTGACACCTAGTTTTACATTGGAAGAGCCCTTAGGGTTACTGATAATGAGGTTGAAATCAAATTTCTTCACCAAGTTGTCAAAACATTTAACTGGCCTCTGAAGAGCAATATTAATATTGTCCACAACAGAAGAGTCTTCTATGGCTGCAAAGAGCTGAAAGGCAATGGAAATTTCAATGTTCCAGGTCTTTCATGTGTTGAGAGGCTGTTTAAAAATCTTCTAAAAGAAATGTTTTCAAATAAACGATCAAACTAACTGAAGATTGCAGTAAACACTGCTTTAATTACTAAACTTGGATTGTTCTGAACTTTTTGTAAGAGTACCCTTGCGAACTGAATTCCCAGTTTTCTAGGAATTCCTAGGAATTCTCAAAAATTCCCAATTATGCATATGACCCTTACAAACTGAATTCCCAGTCTTCTGGGAATTCCTAGGAATTCAAGTGAGTTTCGAGTCTTTGTTTCCTCGACAACTTTCGGCCACAAATCGTGCATTTGTAATAAGATCGATTCTTGTCGATTATTTCTACATAGAGTGTGCTCAAATCATTATTTATATCACCAAGGTATCCATCGTCTAGAAGCAGAGAACCGGTCGGAGAAGTCAGATTAAAGTTGTGCGCTTCTCCTAACAATGCAATCGGCAAGCCAGTGGATTCACTTTGCTAGCCAATGACAAGTCCTAAACGATCCACGTGATCATGCCCGTGATCGGAAACAAAGAAGACTCCATTTGGCGCTCATATTTGAATGTACTTTTCATCGGTTGATCGCTTTTCTCAACTGTTTAGCTTAATAAAACATTTATAAAGATAGCTTTTATTGTGTTTTAATGGGAAAACGAGAACAGCGTGAGTGTTGTAAAAGAAAAGAAAGTCGTTGGCGCCGTGGAGTCAAAAGAAGGGACAACAGTTGACTAATCGACTGGTACAGACAAGGGTCGAGTGGCCATCTGTAAAGCTACGATTTTGAAAGTTTGTGGTGAGTAAAAATTGCGATATTCGTTACGTGATCAAAATCTTATAAAAGAATAGATGTAGCGGGTTGAATTAAGCTTACATAACGCTCGGCGCAACTGAAACTAGAATAATTCTGAGAATCGAATCGGTCACTTGCATGCCGCAGTTTCTTAAGCTTATGCTTTTTAATCAAATAAACCTATCAGTAAGGTTTCAAGATTCCTTTAGTCACGTTTGGGAACATTCAAGATTCATAATAGGAACTGTTATCAAACAAAACTTGTTACATAAAGAAGCCATCCTTGATAAAAACAAAATAATGTATTCAGCCCCTTTTTAATAAAATCTATGAGAGAGATGTACTAACTCCAATATAAAAGTCACTCAATATAACAGAGATTTCTCAATTTGAGAACCCAATGAATGCCCTTTTCCTTACAGCCATATTAAAGGCCTGGTCTGAACCATTAATATATATATTTAAATATAATATTTTTTTTCAAATTCAGATGTCTTGCAATCCAGATACAAAATGGTCAAGCTTCTTGTAGACAACCTCATTCAAGGCCAACTTATTGTGAGCCCAAGGAAAAAAATACAAACAGCAGCTAAGTTTGCAGTTTAGGATAACTTCACTCTAATTTATTGTTACATTTACAACAAGACTTTAATTAAAAAAATCAATTTTATTTATCTGTAATTAGCCCCTTCGCTCCCAAGAGTGCTTGGTTTTCAAATATAATTTAAGATATTGTATTTTATGGAAAAAAATCAACAGATTTGTCAAACCAAATTTAATGATTGAGTAAGACTATTTTATATGAATAGCTGTAATTGAGGATTAATCCATATGAAGTTTTCAAGAAATGAAAAATATATCAAATTATCATAAGTTGATGTTAATAATTAATCAAAAATATTTTACATGTAAGCCTTAATTAAGCTTCTAAATAAATTTCATTGAATACTTGAATTTTAGCTGGGTTTTTTTTAATTTAGAGTATTTATTTTATATCATTAGCCTCAAATTTTTGCTTAAAAATTCCTAGTAATTCTTAAACATTCCTAAAAATTCAGGGAAAGTCATTGGTTCTCTGAGTTAGAATTCCTAGGAATTCCAAGTCCTGTTGGCTATAAACTTGGAATTTCTGGGAATTTCTAGGTTTTTAGAACCAGAGTTGTTATGGTTGGGAATTCCTAGGAATTCCCAGTCCGAATTTACCGTGAAAATTCACACCTTTATTCCTAGGAATTCCTAGGAATTCCCAACCATAACAACTCTGGTTCTAAAAAACCTAGAAATTCCTAAAAAATTCCTAGAAATTCCCAGAAATTCCAAGTTTATAGCCAACAGGACTTGGAATTCACAGGAATTCCTAGGAATTCCAACTCAGAGAACCAATGACTTTCCCTGAAAAGCTGTAAATCTAAAAAATTCCTGGGAATTTCTGGGAATTTTTAGGAATGTTTAAGAATTACTGGGAATTTTAAGCAAAAATTTGAGGCTAATGATATAAAATAAATACTTTAAATTAAAAAAACCCAGCTAAGATTCAAGTATTCAATGAAATTTATTTAGAAGCTTAATTAAGGCTTACATGTAAAATATTTTTTAATTAATTTTTAACATCAATGTGTGGTAATATTAGGATGGAATTGGATTTATTTTTCTTTTCTTGAAAACTTCATACAGATTAATTCTCAATTACAGCTATTCATATAAAATAGTCCTAATCAATCATTAAATTTGGTTTGACACAAATTGTGAATAAAATCTGTTGAATCTTTTCCATAAAATACAATATCCTTAATTATATTTGAAAACCAAGCACTCTTGGGAGTGAAGGGGTTAATTACAGACAAATAAAATTGATTTTTTGATTAAAATCTTTTTGTGACTGTACCAATAAATGAGAATGAAGTTATCCTAAACTGCAACATTAGCTGTTGTTTGTATTTTTTTTCCTGGGCTCACAATGACTTGGCCTTGAATGAGGTTGTCTACAAGAAGCTTGACCATTTTGTATCTGGATTCCATGACATCAGAATTTGGAAAAAAAAATTTAAATATATATATTTCAAGCTCAGACCGGGCCTATAAGATGGCTATGAGGAAAAGGGCATTCATTGGATTCTCAAATTGAGAAATCTCTGTTATATTGAGTGACTTTTATGTTGGAGTTAGTACATCTCTCTCATAGATTTTACTAAAAAAGGGCTGAATACATTGTTTTGTTTTTACCAAGGAGGGCTTCTTTATGTAATAAGGTTTGTTTAATAACAGTTCCTATTATGAATCTTGAATGTTCCCAAACGTGACTAGAGGAATCTTGAAACCTTACTGATAGGTTTATTTCATTCTAAAGCATACGCCTAAGAAACTGCGGCGTGCAAGTGACCGATTCCATTCTCAGAATTATTCTAGTTTCAGTTGCGCCGAGCGTTATGTAAGCTTAATTCAACCTTCTACATCTATTCTTTTATAAGATTTTGATCACGTAACGAATATCGCAATTTTTACTCACCACAAACTTTCAAAATTGTGGCTTTACAGATGGCCACTCGACCCTTGTTTGTACCAGTCAATATGTCAACTGTTTTCCCTTCTTTTAACTCCATGGCGCCAACGACTTTCTTTTCTTTTACAACACTAACGCTGTTCTCGTTTTCCCATTGAACCACAATAAAAGCTATCTTTAGAAATGCTATATTAAGCAAAACAGTTGAGAAAAACGATCAACCGATGAAAAGTACATTCGAAGATGAGCGCCAAATGGAGTCTTCTTTGTTTCCGATCACGGGCATGATCACGTGGATCTTTTAGGACTTGTCATTGGCTAGCAAAGTGAATCCGCTGGCTTGCCGATTGCAGTGTTAAGAGAAGCGCACAACTTTATTCTGACTTCTCCGACCGGTTCTCTGCTTCTAGACGATGGATACCTTGGTGATATAAATACAGGGCGTGAAATTAACTTTTTTTTCTGATAGCCACTTGGCTCCTAAATTCTTCAAAGTGGTAGCCAATGCAAAAAAAGTTGGTCGCCATTTTCAAAGACAAACAAAATCTTTCTTTAAGCTGTCAGCGTTCTAGATAGACCCTACAAAATTAAGTTAGGGAAAAGATCTTTAACGTGCTACAAAGTGGACACTAGGATGGATGATATACAACGAGGAAGTTTGCCGCGGATTTATCTTTGCAAATCTTTTTAATTCACTATATCTCTTGGTAAGGTTATGATGAAACGTTCTAGTCGCCAATTTGGCGACTAACTTTCAGGATTTGGTCGCCAAAGTGAAAAATTTAGTCGCATTGGCGCCTGTTTTAGGCGCAATTTCACGCCCTGAAATAATGATGTGAGCTCACTCTGTGTAGAAATAATCGACAAGAATCGATCGTATTACAAATGCACGATTTGTGGCCGAAAGTTGTCGAGGAAACAAAGACTCGAAACTCACTTGAGTTGTGTTCATGGCAAAGGTGAGAAATAACACAAACCAATGACAGTTTTGAATGCGACTACAAATCATCTTTTACCCTTATATTTATAAAAGAAGGATACCACATTAGGAAGTATAAGAGATACATAGATGATTCCAGTGTACCAGTACCTAAATCTACAAAGCTTGACCGTAGCAAGCGTTCAGCAACATGTTCCAACACCGCCATCTCGATTCCTCAGTCAGTCGTTTACACTGAACTTAAAGCAGTAGTGACAACAGAGTAGAGTGCGTCTTACAAAGGAGAAACATTTGTACAAGAGACAGAAGTAACTTTATGCGATTACAGAGGTGCGTTGGAACTCTGGTCCACAAATAGTTATGCACTGTCCGAAGTATAAAACAATTTTGTTGATAGCTGACAGACAGAGAAGAACAACAAGTTTAGAGCTGTTATTATTGAAGTGTGACTTGCACTTTTTATTTGTATATAAAGAAGGACTTGTATTTTGCACCAAAAATAAAAGATGTAATATTTTTTGGGAGATCCAGTGATTGGGACATTTAAGAAATTAAGTTATAAAATGGCAACTTGGTTGGTACTTCTCACTACTTACAAGTCTTGTTGACAAATATTTTCAGATCAGAGTTTCAAATAAAGTAAATTGAAGACGTCATTTAAAAGGTGTTTTTTCTCAAAGGGAACATTGACTACCTCTGTCTTGTCTGCATGCCAAATGTTTGCAAAGTGTGTGGATGATCCACAAGTATTGGAACTCTTACAAAAATGTTTTGTAAGAAGAAAAACAGCAAAACAAATTAAAGCAATTAGTCACGGAAACAGAGCAAAAAACTGAAAAAAAAAAACAGCAACAACAATCATGAAAAAAGAAAGATTAATTAGGTGTTTAATTTGTTTGTCTAAGACATGAAATTTCTACTAAAAATTATGTCGACAAAAAGTCTCCCACAGTGAGGTAACTGAGCTTGACTATTCCAAGGTTTTCTAACAAAGGCAACCAGTAATGTAGGTTAGGGAAGTAACTTATGTTCATAACTAACAAAGTTCTTTAAGTGTTGATAACAATGTAATTATTGTTAATCATTGTGGAAGTTGTGTACCAAGGAACAGCTAATGAATGTTTGATGATTTTGGCACATGAGTAAACAGGAGACATTAATTTGCATCACAATAAAAATATTTGTTGATCATGGAATCCAAGAGTCCTTTGAGTTTAGAAAGCAAATCTGTGATATGAGTATATTGGATTAATTGGAAATTCCCATTTAACATAAGGAACTGCTGGTTCATGAGAAAATCCATATTAATGTAAAGATTTACAAAAACTTAGTTTGAATAATAAATTTCATGATCTTTAAGTTATAAACATATACATGTGTGTATATCTCTTGGTAAGTTTTGTATAGCATACCTTTTATTGAGCCAAAGTTTTAAGCCTCTGAAATTACTCCTTTTCTTAAAACCTTCACATTCAAGGTCTTGATAATTTCTTAGAATTTATGTGGACCTCAGGGTATTTAAATTGCCTCAAATTCAATTTCCAGAAATTCCCAAGAATTCCACCATTCTTAAATTATGGGTAGTTTGTATAGCTGAGAATTCCTAGGAATTCCTAGGAATTCCAAGTCATCACAAAACTGGAGTTTTCCTTTCCCAGAAATTCCCAGTAATTCCAAGCTTTTTAAATCAGAGTCAATTTGCATAGTTCGGAATTTTTGAGAATTCCTAGGAATTCCCAGAAAACTGGGAATTCAGTTTGCAAGGGTCATTTGCATAATTGGGAATTTTTGAGAATTCAGTTCGCAAGGGTTTGGAGCCACAGTAGAGTCTTCTCTTATGAACAATATCAATATTGCTCCCCAGAGGCTAGTGAAATGTTTTCACAACTTGGTGAAGAAATTTTCATACACTTTTCATTGGACAAAAATAAACAGCCTCTCTTAGCCATTTTCCACAAAGTCAACTTTCAGATTACTATATTTTAAACAATCTAGGGTCTCCTTATTCTAAAAATCCATGATTGGGCTAGATACGAAATATTTTAAATTTCATCATTTAAGCAGTTGCAAAATGGTATGGGCCATGATGGTTTTCATTATTTTTACCATCCCCTAAAAATCCCTCTGGCCATCCAATGAAATACACTTTTATACAAACGTTTTGGCTGTTAACAGCTATATGTAATGGTGATTTATGAATCATATAGAATAGTACATAACAACATAGACATTTTCATTCCCATGAGAATAAGACACAAAAAAATTCTTACATATATGTATCATATTTAAAGAGGGGAAAAATACATATATACCTACCCTGGTTAGATTTCCTGCATTCAAAAAATCACAATATGAGCAATCAGAAAATGATGGACATGTAATAATTTCTGAAAAGGAAAACAAAATAAATATTAATCAAATGTGTGAGATATTGATGGTCACAAAAATTCCATTTAAGGTGCTATATTTATTCTTTTAACTCCCATGAGTGACCAAGACCAAATTTCTCCTTACAATATAAATATGTAATATCAACCAAATAAGTGACAAGATTTAAGAAAAATATCAATTTGGGGATAATTAGTTGATCCAATATTAAATTCTATGAACTAACATTATAAGAATTGTATGACTGACAGTAAGGAGAATTACAAATTGGATCTGGGAGTTAAAGGGTTGAGGCATTAATTGTTGCTATTGAACAGTGTAATGAGCTGAAGAAAGCTTTAGGATAATCTGAGAGACATAAACAACATAAGGCTGTTTCACTCGATCATGCTCAAAAGGGGTTGTTGGAAAAAAATTGAACTCAAGAGGAATCCTATAATGGTAAAACCTTCAGATATTTCAATTCATGGATACTGCATGTGTCTGCTAACTTCAGAACACAGCAGTTTGAAACTGGAAATTGAGGAAATCTAATATGTAAATTTGTCATTCGACAAACTGTGAAGGAAAATATTGATAGTTTTTAAGAAATTGGCTGTTGCATAAATTTAACAGTGGTTATTATTCAGTGGTTCCTCAGTTACTGGTGAAGTAAAGCTATATGCTGAAGCACAAAGAAAGATTGCTTTGGGATTAGAGTTCAAATGCTCAATAACCTCTTCAGTGCACATTGAACCTCATTTGCCATTTCCTTTCCATCCCACCCAATGGTTATTTGTTATGGAAACATTCCCTATCTTTTGGGTTTTCTGTATAAGAAAGCCTCTCTGTAAATGTTATGTTTTAGCACTGTTAGATTTATCTGCTTATATGCACCAAATAAGAGCCACATTTTGTGGAAAATTAGTTAACTATATAACTAAGACTGGACGATTTGTCCCAAACATTACTTGTGGTCACATGTCCTATGGTTTATCAGATTGAATTTAAAGGCACAATAATTTTGTCGAAAAAATATCATCGATAAATAATGCCTAACTCGAGTTCTCGGAAAACATATTGAATTGGAGAAGACAAGTCATTCTCTAGCGACGGAGATCGAACTGTTGAGAACGGTTTTCGCTTTCAGTTTCCTGTCGCCTACGAAAACGGCAATTTCCGCCCTCACTGATACGCATTACGTGTTCCAATCTTAACTAAAGCATTTCCCTGTCCCTTTAATCTAGATCAGTAACGACTGCTGGAAGTAAAATAGCTGGTCTGAGTACAAAACAGACTCTTACTAAAGTGTGAAATTTAATTAAAGTGACCTATAAGTGCGCATCAATTCATATTTCATGATCTTACCCTTCACATGATCTTCTAGAGAACGGTCCTTCAAACGAAATAATTACACCCGGAGCTCGTGAAGAGGCGACGCAATCGTCCTGAAAAAAAAAAGTAGCTTACGTATCAAGTATGTCTTCACCATACACTTATTTTCAAAGGCTTGTATTATTCGTAATCATACGCATTTACGCGAGAGAAATACCGTAAGTCAACAACGGGTTATTAAAGTTAAAGTTAAAAATACGGAGTGAATAACTTTACTATTCTGCCTGTACCTGCTCTTTTTTCGGGTCAACTCTTCTCATGGACAGCAATGTGAGTTTAAATCAAGTTCCTTATCGCAAGATCGCATGCAGAGTAGAACTTTGATCACATGGAAATTCAACTGGGAACCCAAATATACAAATTGAACGAAGGGACTTCATAGGTCAGGTGTGTAAACTGGATGTCGAAATACCTTTAATTGAATTTTCTTCCGTCAAGATGTGGCATGCAAGAAAGGGATGATGTCAAGATTTCTGAAAAAGAGAAACACAATCAGTATTAAACCGTAAAATAGAGAGAGTGGTGCACTATATAGAATTGATATATTCTTACTTTCTCCATTCTTTAAAATGGATTACTAGGATTGATTGCCAGACTGATAAGTTACGTGTGCAGCAGAGGTGCACGTGGTTAAGGTATGCAACACTAAACACGATGTACAGATATTACTTGTATGTGAGTCACACCTGTCAAAATTTTTCTGAAACCAGCAAACAATGTACAATCAGACCGAAGTTCTTCAGGATCTTTTTCTTTCCAAACAACTGTCGGTACGTAACAGTGAGAATAAATGAAGCAATAAAACATTTGCATCGGACTTATTCAACTGTGGTGTATGTACAATTTAAGTCTTCCTACTGAATGTACGACTTAAAGCAGAAAATGAGTTTTGCTTGAGAAATCAGCCATCTCTCGCAAAAGGATCCTGTTTTTCAAACCAGATATTTTTAAAGTTGAATTGTATTTGACATTCTAGAAGATCAGTGCTGCGGAAAGTATTTTTGCATGACCATTTGGGCAGAACCACACAGAGCT